TGGGGAAATGGGCGGGGCCAGGGCCCGTGGAGGGTCCTCTTTTTTTATTTATGAGATATGGTAACCCTAGGCAAAGCTCTGTGGGGCCCAGGACTGGACTACCAGGCATGCTACAGGTCAGGACTGAGGTATGTGGGGGCTGGGGGAGCCCAGGGCTGACTTAGAAGAAGTTGCTGTGGGTCATGACAGAGAATTCTCCCACAGTCAGCTAATCTCCTGCCACTTGTGGAGCATCCCTCATTCACTCAGCCACGTCCCCGTGTGGCCTGCACGCTCCTGGGTGCGCTCCTGGGCTTTCCTGGGCCGGCTGTGTGCTGTGAGGGCTCGGTGCTGCAGCTGTGTCGAACCCGTGCTCGGCAGGTTTAGGTGCAGCAGATGACCGGCTCCCACCTTCCCCTCCACTAACGCAGGCCATTCATTCACCAGGCACTAGAGGCAGCCCACGCTGAGCCCTCAGCACCGTGATGGGATCTTGGCGGGTATTTTACGTACACCTCCTACACCCTATAGCGCCCCGCCCCATGACGTGGGAACCTCCCTGTGGCTACCAAGCAGGGATGGGTCCCAGCTGGCTGCAGCGTTCCGAAGCTCCTGAGCCAAAGCCAGACTCCACCACAGCGTGTGGGTATTTGGCTCCAGGGCTGCAGTTCAGCCGATTGCAGACAGTCACCAAATCCAGATTGCAGCATCCCCCCATCAGAGCACTGGGTATTCAGATCCACGTGTAGTGATCCCCTCTTTACGCCCCTGCCCAGGGCTGCCCCAGTCCCCATGCCCCTAGTGCTGTGCTTAGAACCACATAGCACATTTCTAGCTTTGCTGAACACTGTCTGTCTGTCTGTCTGTCCTGCAGGTGGCAGCTCCTCCCAGGGCCAGTACAGCAACACCCTGCAGAAGTCCTTCAGCTCCAGATCCCAGACCAATGGCTTAGACACCAAGGGCACTGTAAGTACCAGCTCACCTGCAGTGTGTGGCTAGACAGGTCGGTCTGGCTGGTGGGTCATTATATGGCTCCCATCACTATTGTATCTGGAACCCAGCCATCGGCATGCTAGATCAGGTCACCAGCTAGTTGCTTCTCTTCCTGTAGCCCTTAGGAAGCCCAGTCACTGGCAGTGGATGGCTGGGTTCCAAGCCAGGCGTGGGAAAGCACTTGATCCTAATAATGGTAGTGGGGGGTACGTTTCCCCCAGGCGCCAGTCAGGGTGGAGGGAGGGGGGCGAGGTTCTGTAGTGGTGGACAAAGCTCCCATGAGGCAGTAAGAACACTTGGCAGTCAGAGAGCTCTGCAGGCCTCAGAGCCAGCTCTGCGCTGCACCATTGTCAAACATGCCGCCTTGGTTAGTGGGTGAAATCCTGGCTCCACCGAAGTCAGTGGTGAAATTCCCATTCACTAGGGCCAGGGTTTCTCCCTTGGTCTCTCAAGGCCTCCGTGTCAAATGGTGTTTTTAAAACCAACAAACTCAGCTGGGATCTGAGTGTCACGCCAGGTTGGTTCCCTTTCACTCGTCCCCTCCGGTGCTAAAAGGTCTGCAGGCCCAGTGGTGACTCCCAGTACACCTGTCCAACCCACTGTCTCAGCCAAGGGCGTCAGATGACTGTAATCTCGTTAGCTTTCAGTGGCCTTCGTGGAGGCTGTACGGGCAGTACTGAGGGTGGAACTGAGCCTGCAGAATTTCTCTTCCTGGTGATGAGGGGTGAGAGGAAAAGACCCCAGCTTGATTCTCAGATCCCACGCTCACTTTGCTGGGCCAGAAGTTAGCAAGACATGCTGTGTGTTTCCTATTGAAATGAGACATTGCTGACCCATTTCTCCCCCTCTCCCTCAGCTGTATCAGCCACCAGCCCAGAATGGGTACAGCACCACCAAGTCCACCGGCTGGTCCTCCCGCTCAGCTGTGGACCTCCCACATCACAAGAGGATGGCTACCATCAGCAACGGGGGTGTGCCCCAGGGCCCAGCCTACCGTATGAGCTACACCCTGTCGCAGGCCGCCAGCACCTCCGCGCGGCCTAATTCCTTCCACGAGCGGAACTACCAAGCCCGGCCAAACTTCGACACCATGTCGTTGCGGTCGCTGCACCTGGCGGACGGGCCGGGCAACCCTGCGGGCATGGATGATCGCTACAGCGTGATCTCGGAGCAGGTAGGCCCGGGGGCCCTCTACAAAGGCAGAAGCAATGGCAACTTCACCAGATCCTACACCTTTGAGAGGCAGATGAGTGCTGGCTCTAACACTGGGATGAAGGGGCCAGGCGACTGGATGGACAGCGTGGAGGTGCCTCAGAACCGGACCATCCGCGCGCCCGCCATGCGCACCCTTCAGCGCTTCCAGAGCAACAACCGTTCCCGCCTGAGCACTGGCTCTTTCAGCAGCCTCTCGGCCTCCCAGCCCGGTGTGGGGAGCTCCTACGTGGGCATGATGGAGCGCAACGTCCGGGCCCCCTCTGTGCGCAGCCTGGCTGAGTCCAACCACCACCTGCAGGACCTGCGCGCCATCGACATGTACAATGGGCACAACACGCTGACAACCCAGCACTCCTACTCCGGCGGGTGAGTGTGCAGGGGGTAGCCAGGAGTCAGGGCTTGTGGGCAGGGGTGGTCTGTGAAGCTCCCAGCTGACCTGACAAGGATCAAGGAACGTGCCGAGCTTCCTAAGAGGGACCAGGGGAGCTGGGCTTCTGGGCCAGGCATAGCCTCCCTTCTGCTGGTTCCCGGGTCTGCCTCCCTGGTGCATTTCCGTAGTCTCCTGCATTGTGGATGGTTTGGGGCGTGACCATCCCTCCGTCTAAGTGATCGACCTGTTGCCTGATGCGGCCCCATGCGACGGGTAAATTCTGCAGCTCACCTGGTCATCCGTAAGGTGTGGGGGCAAAGCAGAGGGGAGCTGGAGCAGCAGTACTGATGCTGTCACAAAGGACTGCCCTGGGCCCTGTTGCTTCCTGGGCTAGCATTGCTCCAGATTGCAGTGCTATAGCCGTGACGCACTGGGCATGGG